TTTGAGTGTTAACCAACTCCTGGTCATCCGCCTACTGAAACTGGATCACAGAGAGGGTCATCAGGCTTGCGTCAGCTGGGCAAAGTATCACAACCTCAGGGTCTCCAGGTGTCAGGGGATGTGCAATCGTCTCACCAGCAGGGGGAGTTTAACCATTTCTGATGTGGCCACCAGATCATCCCAACAAGCCTTGAAGAGGGGGGGGGGGCTTGGAAGTAACGAGCCAGAGCAACAGAAAGATCTAATAGTGTAGTACTTTATTATCCACAGGGGTAAATTGAACAAAGCAATGTACTAAGGCCTTTGAAAACGTGCAACCGCACGCAATGCGTTAGGGAGGTGCCACATACCTTGTGACGTCACACCGCACGGCCCCTGTGGACGGCCGGCGGCCATTTTTGAATTCCCTGTCACCAGCTGCTTACTACTGTATGTGAGTAGTACATTCTATTACTTTGTTCAATTTACCCCTGTGGATAATAAAGTACTACACTATTAGATCTTTCTGTTGCTCTGGCTCGTTACTTCCGAGCCCCCCCCTCTTCAAGGCTTGTAGGGATGATCTGGTGCCCACATCAGGAATGGTTAATCTCCCCCTGCTGGTGAGACGATTGCACATCCCCTGACACCTGGAGACCCTGAGGTTGTGATACTTTGCCCAGCTGACGCAAGCCTGATGACCCTCTCTGTGATCCAGTTTCAGTAGGCGGATGACCAGGAGTTGGTTAACACTCAAATGCGCATTACCATTGCGCTTTCTGGTTAGTGCAATCTACACTCATCTCTGTGGGATGAATATGGTCACGGAAGTCACTAATTTTTTCACCACCTTACCTTGAAATTTTGCACTATGCACCACAAGAACACTCTTGTTGGAGATATTTATTCACCGTTACTACAACCTGTGGACGTTTAGACAGTTTTTTATCTACTGGTGTTCACAATACCATTTTATTATGCACCATCTATTTATATGCATGTATGATTGAATTTTATTAGCGCTGCATGTTCTTTTGACATTTATACTTTGGAGGCTCCTGGTGTTCGCCTTTCATGCTAGTCGCTTTTTGGATTTTATCCAGCGCTCATATCGTTTCTGTTTTGAATGCGAGTGGATAACCCAGCATTAGAAATAGTTTAGCAGTAAAGACAAGCCATGTCCTCTCGTTTCACCAACTTCGAATACCACCAAGCGTCATACAGATAAAGTAGTTATGTTTCAACGACCCACGCGGTTAAAGTTCGGCAAGTTTTCGGAGAAACTTCATTTGCTGAAACTGTGTGTGTATAAGCATGTATATTATAATGACGTATATACAGTTAAGTCCATATATATTTTGCCACAGGCACAATTTTAGTTTTTTTTTCAGGTATTGACCAAAACATATTCAAGCTATAGTTCTATAATGGATATGGGCTGAAAGTGCACGCTCTTAATCAAAAGCTGTTTCATGGCCAGGTGTGGGCTACTCCTTCATTATTTCTTCATCAGTTAAGCAGGTAAAAGGTTTGGAGTTGATTCTAAGTGTGTTATTTGCATTTGGAATCTATTGCTGTGAACTTACATCATGCATTCAAAGGAGCTGTCCATGCAAGTGAAACAGACTATTGTAAGGCTTCAAAAGCTAAACAAATACGTCAGAGAGAGAGCAGCAACATTGGGAGTGGCCAACTCTACAGTTTGATACATTCTGTGGAAAGAAGTACGCACTGGTGAGCTCAACAACATAAAAAGGCATGGACGTCCACGGAAGACAACAGTGGTGGATGATGACAGGACCCTCTCTATGGTAAAGAAAAACCCATTCACAACATCCATACAAGTGAAGGACACTCTCCAGGAGGGTTCACCACAAGGTGCAAACCATTCATAAGCCTGAAGAATAGAAAAGCCAGATTAGACTTTGCCAAAAAAATCTAAAAGAGCCAGACCAGTTATGGAAACGTATTCTTTGGACAGATGAAACTAAGATTAATCTGTACCAGAATGACGGGAAGACAAAAGTGTGGAGAAGGCTTGGAACAGATCATGATCCAATCCAAAGCACACAACGTCATCTGTAAAACATGGTGGAGGCAGTGTGATGGCATGGGCATGCATGACTTCCAGTGGCACTGGGTCATTGGTGTTTATTGAAGATGACAGAAGTAGCTGGATGAATTCTGCAGTGTTTAGAGATATACTGTTAGCCCAGATTCAGCCAAATGCAGCAAAGTTGATTGGACGGCGCTTCACAGTACAGATGGACAATGATCCAAAACACACTGCAAAAGCAACCTTTTGAAGCTTTTGAAGGAAAAGAAGTGTAATATTCTGCAATGGCCGAGTCAATCACCTGATCTCAACCCAATTGAGCATACATTTCACTTGCTGAAGGCAAAACTAAAGGCATAAAGACCCCCAAACAAAGAACTGAAGACTGCTGCAGTTAGAGCCTGGCAAAGCATCAGAAAGGTGGAAAAGGTGGTAATGTCCATGGGTTCCAGACTTCAGGCAGTCATTGCCAGTAAAGGATTCTCCACAAAATATTAAAAATGAACATTTTATTGATGATTATATTCAATTGTCCATTTACTTTTGGTCCCTTGAAAAAGGGGGGTTGGCTAATCCTAAGAGCTGTAATTCCTAAACCCTTCCTCCAATTTGGATGGAAATATCCTCAAATGTAACCTGAGACTGTGTGTTTAAGCCCATATCCATTATATAACTAAAGCTTGAATATATAAATAGAACCTTTGCGCTTCTATGAACCAAAAACAAACTTACTCATAGTAATTGTGTAAAATGCTGTAGCATAAACCATTTGTAGCCGCTATTGCACACAACCCCTATCTCATATAAGGCAAAAAAAAAATCACTATATTATAGCTAATATATTTTGGTCAATACCTGAAATAAACTAAATTGTGCCTGTGTCCAAATATATATGGACCTAACTGTATACTGTCAACAGGTGGGATCTGGGGGCTTCCAGATTCCGATAAGCTCCCCCCCCACCCCAGACCACCACCCAGAGGAAGAGGCCCTTGTCCCCATCAACATGGCGACAAGGTACGTTGAGGGAGGGGGGGGGGGGCTTTGGCAGGGGCCCTGCCCCTGCTGAGCTGTATGCTTGGATAAGGGTCTGGCACGGATTTTGGGTAGGACCCCACTTTTTTCTTTTTTTTTTTTTTTTTTCTTGTGTGTGTGTTTTTTTCTTGGCATGGGGTTCCCCTTAAAATCGTTTTTTGTTTTGGTTTTTTTTTTGGGGGGGGGGTTGTCTTGTTGGGTTTTTTTTTGGTTTTTTTTCTTAATGCCAACATTCTTTTGTTTGCATTCAGCTGTCAGCATTTGTTAAGGATGCCGCGGCCACCTGCTCCTAAATAACCTGCTGCTTAGCAGTGGTTAGCGCCCTGAAGGGGTGTTTAGTGTTTTTTTTTTCTGCCAGAAAATCGATCTCAAACGCAAACCAGAGTTTTTTTTTTTTTTTCTGTTCCTAAATGTTGAGCTTAAAAAACACTTTTAGACTCTTAATGCTACTGCTAGGGGTGTTTTTTAAGCTAGGATGCCTTAAAGCGGTAGTAAAGCATTTAAAAAACAAAAAAAGAAAAACAAGGCAACGGCATAATGTACTAGTACGCATCACATACCAGCACATTATGTAAAACTTACCTTAAAACGAAGCCCTCCAGCGGCGCTCTGTCACCACTGAAAAGGCTTCAATCTTCGCCTGGTCTTCCTTCTGGGTTCGCAAGCGCTGGCCATCTCAAAGGCTGAGGTGCGATGATGTCGCTCCCGCGCATGCGCACGTGAGTCACGGGCCACGCACTGAAGGTGCGGTACAGGTTCCTTCAGAGCATATGCTCCAGCTAAAAAATAACGAATATCTCCTGAACGTTGTACGTTTGGAGATATTAATTTTACCTACAGGTAAGCTTTATTGTAAGCTTACCTGTAGGTAAAAATTAACAAAAATTAACGCTTTAAGAGGGTCGGTCCAACTAAAATTTTAGTTATAGGTGAAACGAAGTCATTACCTACAGGCCCACCTTTACATCTTCCAGGACCTCCCAGTAGCATTTTGCCATAATGTGAAGTAGATACATCCAACTGGGAAAACAGGATTCTCTCAAAATGTCCACTGCACACATGGCAGTCCCTGGACAAAAGCAGAGATTTCTCTGATCAACTGCCCGCTAAATATAAGACATTTTCAAGTGGTTTTAACTTTCTATCTTTTAAAATAATCATTTTCGGTGGACTGACTCTTTAATATCATTAAGGCGTTCAAGTACACAGTTGGGAAAATGATGCTTATAGACTTATTGGGACCCCTGCACATCAAGAAAACACATAAAAGCTTCCTCGGTAGCATGAATGAACAAAAAATGCATGTACATTTCGTTTTAACGCTCGTTGATCTGCGTTTTAGCACACTTATAAAATGCAAATCTAACGCATAGGCACCTAAACAACAGTTGTTTTTGTGTCCTGTTCACACTACAATGCTGCGTTGTCCTGCATTGAGTTGCGTTAAAATGCATACATGTTACTTTTTGATGTAACACAGGTCAACACTGCATTGTAGTGTGAACAGGACACTTAACAAACCTTGGTTTGGTATGTGTCTGTGCATTGACTTGCATTTTACAAGTTTGGTAAAATGCAGATGAATGCACGTCAACACGTGATAAACCGCCACTAAAATGCATAGAAATGTACATGCATTTTACATACACTTTAGCGCAGGTCAGTGTGAATGTACCCTTAGAGTAGAATGCACAAGCCCATATCAACAAATCAGACTAAAGGCATATCACTGGAAGATTATTATTCATTGGTTGCTTTGAGTTTACTCATCTTTGTACTTAGCTTTTTGACTAAAGATTGAGAGGTAAATTTCTTGGAGGACAGGTTTCCTTGCAAAGGTGCCTTCTCTTTTATGCTTGTGCTATCAAACTGTCCTCTTCTTTACTTGTTTCCTTCTTCCCTTCTTTCCTGTGCCTTTTTAATCCTGTAGATTCTGAAGCAGGACACACAAGTGAAAACTGGGGCGAACGATTAACGTCCTCTTACAGCACATATGCAGGTAAAATGAACTGTACATATATTACATGGCACGTTTTTTCCATTTGGATATGAAATCACTCTTCATCAGTTTCTAAGCAAGTCCTATACATCTGTTTGAAGAATGATACTGGCTGTTGTTGCCTATTTGCTTAAAGATACTTTAGACTGGTTTTGTTATAACGCTGTTGGCTTCATTTGTATTGCAAGATAACCTTACAATTGTAGAAATGAAGAACACATACTGTATATCCTTGTAACCCTCTGATTACAACTTTGCTTAAAGTGGCTGTAAGCCTCAGACATGAAGTATGAACATAGTGTGTACTCGTCTCAATTAAGAACACTAAGTGTAATTTCTGTATGTTGCTTCATTCCTCTATCAGCATGATTCACTTATGACTGTCTTTCCTGACACCAAGAGAAAAATGGTGACAGGGGTGTGACCTCCAGATTCACAGCCTCTGCTCTGTTCCTGTGAGTTGTGTGGAAGGAGGTGAATCGCTTCCTTCCAATCAACTCTGAGCTCTCCTCAATGACCCCTGCAGTGTGTAATTTCAGTTCTCTGACTCTTTTTTCTGAACTCTCGGACAAGCTTTATAAATTCAGCACTTTGAATGGCTGTTGAGAAGAAAGACTGCAGTTAAACAGGTACAACTTATGTAGGAGGGCTTGTGTCAGCTCTGTGTATCATCTGAGGCTGGTCACTTCACTGGGTATATGTAAGGGTTTACAGCCACTTTAAAGCCTGATGGAAGCTTCATCAGTTATTGAAATGCAGCCAAGATGTATAAACAGTAATAATTGAGGGCTTCTGTTTTTAGATTGTAACAGTCAACAGACCTGTTTTCTGTAGCAAAAGGTTGAAATATCTCGTGCTACCAGCACACTAGAGAGTCAGATCACTGCTTAACACAGAGTGCAGTAGTTCAAATCTCCAGCACTCTGACACTCAGTCCCTACCCAGTGCTCCAGTCAACAGGAGCAACACTTGACCGCAAAGTGGTAGGTCTTTTTGGGTCAGCGCTGGAAAAAGAGAAGAATATTGCAGTCAGAGCTGTGTCTTTTATTTTTTAAATTAAGTATTGGTATCTCAGGATGCCCTTGGCTGTGCATGGTTCTAGAAAGCATGTGCACAGTTGACTAGCAGAATACATAGGGACTGTTCCCTGAGGATGCATTCTTTATGCTGCTTCTTTTCTCTGTTTGTATACATTTTTCCTGAGAATAGACCGATGGCATGTGCTACAGTCAGGTCCATAAATATTGGGACATCGACACAATTGTAAAATTTTTGGCTCTATACACCACCACAATGGATTAATTTGAGGGTATTTGCATCCAAATCAGGTGAACGGTGTAGGAATTACAACAGTTTGCATATGTGCCTCCCACTTGTTAAGGGACCAAAAGTAATGGGACAGAATAATAATGATAAATCAAACTTTCACTTTTTAATACTTGGTTGCAAATCCTTTGCAGTCAATTACAGCCTGAAGTCTGGAACGCATAGACATCACCAGACGCTGGGTTTCATCCCTGGTGATGCTCTGCCAGGCCTCTACTGCAACTGTCTTCAGTTCCTGTTTGTTCTTGGGGCATTTTCCCTTCAGTTTTGTCTTCAGCAAGTGAAATGCATGCTCAGTCGGATTCAGGTCAGGTGATTGACTTGGCCATTGCATAACATTCCACTTCTTTCCCTTAAAAAACGCTTTGGTTGCTTTTGCAGTATGCTTTGGGTCATTGTCCATCTGCACTGTGAAGCGTCCAATGAGTTCTGAGGCATTTGACATATGAGCAGATAATATTGCCCGAAACACTTCAGAATTCATCCTGCTGCTTTTATCAGCAGTCACATAATCAATAAATACAAGAGAACCAGTTCCAATGTGCCATACATGCCCACGCCGTGATACTACCACCACCATGCTTCACTGATGAAGTGGTATGCTTAGGATCATGAGCAGTTCCTTCCCTTCTCCATAATCCTCTCTTCCCATCACCCTGGTACAAGTTGATCTTGGTCTCATCTGTCCATAGGATGTTGTTCCAGAACTGTGAAGGCTTTTTTAGATGTCGTTTGGCAAACTCTAATCTGGCCTTCCTGTTTTTGAGGCTCACCAATGGTTTACATCTTGTGGTGAACCCTCTGTATTCACTCTGGTGAAGTCTTCTCTTGATTGTTGACTTTGACACACATACACCTACCTCCTGGAGAGTGTTCTTGATCTGGCCAACTGTTGTGAAGGCTGTTTTCTTCACCAGGAAAATAATTCTTCGGTCATCCACCACAGTTGTTTTCCGTGGTCTTCCGGATCTTTTGGTGTTGCTGAGCTCAACGGTGCGTTCCTTCTTTTTAAGAATGTTCCAGACAGTTGTTTTGGCCACGCCTAATGTTTTTGCTATCTCTCTGATGGGTTTGTTTTGTTTTTCAGCCTAATGATGGCTTGCTTCATTGATAGTGACAGCTCTTTGGAGCTCATCTTGAGAGTTGACAGCAACAGATTCCAAATGCAAATAGCACACTTGAAATGAACTCTGGACCTTTTATCTGCTCATTGTAATTGGGATAATGAGGGAATAACACACACCTGGCCATGGAACAGCTGAGAAGCCAATTGTCCCGTTACTTTTGGCCCCTTAAGTGGGAGGCACATATGCAAACTGTTGTAATTCCTACACCGTTCACCTGATTTGGATGTAAATACCCTCAAATTAAAGCTGACCGTCTGCAGTTAAAGCACATCTTGTTAGTTTCATTTCAAATCCATTGTGGTGGTGTATAGAGCCAAAAATTTTAGAATTGTGTCAATGTCCCAATATTTATGGACCTGACTGTATGTAGACATTATTGTATTCATTCAATTGGTCAGTAACAAAATAGAAAAAAAATGTTTTTTTTTTGCAAAGATTAACATTTCCATCTATCCCAATAGGAAGATGCCAGTAGGCCATCCATTCTGTGTAAAATTACTCATGTTTTTGGCTTGACTGAAGCTCTCTTGTACGCTGTTACATATTAGCAGAACTTAAGGCATCATTTTGCAGATATACCACTGCTCCAGTAATGCAATTTTCAGTAAATACTCCTCCGTAAATTACATATTGTTCACATGTTGAATTGACCTGGTCTGTTTTGCAACATTAACATCTGAACAGCATCACTAGAGTTGTGGGGTAGGAGCTAGCAGATGGGGGATTCCATCCAGTTGCTCTGTGTGGTAGCTGAGTTTGGGAAATAAGCATTATTCTGCACTTTTTTAATACATTTTGAGTATTTATTAAGTTTTTCCTAGCATCAGTGTAATTTGTTTCCTCTTTTTGATTTTTGCTGCTGCGCTGTATTCCTATGAACATATACCCTATAGTATTGTACATTCTCTGGTTAGTGAATACCTATATCTCATTCATTGAAGTTGGCATCCTAGCTGTAAGAATGCAGTAAAAATGTATAATACTGATGAAACTGTCTAGTGTATCTTACTGCTGAACCAGCCAAATTGTGATCCAAATAGCGCCAGTTTAAAGTTCTTGTAGTTACATTTTTTACCTTCCTGGCACCTCCTCTTCTCTGTGCGCCACATATAGGAAACCGCTTCTTATTGTGGCACACCTGCTGGATAGTTCCTAAGCCACATTGCCTGCGTCTATAGACGCACAGTGTGGTTTGCTTCTGCCCCCCACTCCGTCACAGGATTTGACTGACAGCAGCGGGAGCCAATGGCTGTCTCAGCAAAGCCTGAGAGTGGGAAGACCAGCTGGAGAGAGAGTTCCGGGAGGTATAAGGGGGGTGAGGGGGTCCAAATTACCACCTAAACATTTTTTACTTTAATGAAGGGAATGTATTAAGGTAAAGAAATGTATAAAGGGTTACTAAACCCAGGACCCTGTATTCACTATATCTGGTCTCCCACAGTACACAGAACATGAAGTATAATTATTTTAGTAAATATCAACTGCTAATTACCTTTTGTCATCAGCAGTTAGAGCAGTCTTGTGACTTCTATCAGTGTCTAGCTGAGCTCTGGTTAAAGCTTGTAGGAGGAGTTTTTATTCTGCTCTAGGAGGATGCAGGACCCCTGACCTCTGTCTGGACAGAGTGACTCCAGACTGATTTTACTGTTGTGGGTTTAGTAATACTTTAAGACTGAGGGGGCCATCCATAGTTGCCTTGGCATAGTCTGATTTTCTCATGTTAACACATACATATATATATATATCATTTTTTATCTATTGTTTGCTCACAGAAAAGTTATTCATTGTGCTGTACTTGTGTAGAACAAAAATATTTGTTGCTCCATTCCCTGGTGTTTTTGCTAAAACATGCTTTAAAGCTAAACTCCAGAAAAGTTAAAAGAATAAAGAAATAGTGATAGTCATGTGATTGTTAGCGATGTCCTTTCTGTGTGATGACAACCAATGGGATGCTGTTCAACTTTGCCCACTGTCAAGCTCATGGAGCCACCCAGCAAATGGAGCTATTATAAAGAACCATGGTAAATTATGTTTGGCAGCAGCTATCCATGTAATTAGGTTGTGATACAGATGCTGCTAGCAATGCTTTCTCTCAGAATCTGGGGGTTATAAGGGAATCATACGACCAGCGGGCATTTGTCAGTGGGTTCAGGTTAGGAAATGAGGTTTATGGAAAAGTTATTTTCAAAATAAAATTTCCAGATTGAGCCTGCTTTTCTTCTTGCTCTTTCCTCATCTTATATCTTAGGGATCTCTTGACCCCCACTCCTTCTATTTCAATTCTGTATTTGCATTGGGTTTTACCTCTAATGGCAAACCTGCCCTCTGACTCATATGGCACTATTCAAATAGCAAATGCTCAGTATTGATAGGTGTTAACCCAAGGTTAAGGTACCTACATCCTAATTATCTATTCAAAAGATCTAAAGAGCAACAGGGGCAGTAGGATTTTCTTTGTACCGGCAAAGACAGACATTTAAAGGTTAAAACCTCACATGTTTATTACAGAAAGACATATTAAAACGACATTGCTTGTTTAAAAATCCC